CCATGTTCAAACCAGAATTCTTGCAGAGTGTGTGTTTATCATACAAATAAGAGTCCACATCATACTTCTATCCCAACGTCTTTCAAATCTAACTTGAAGAACTTAATGCAAGAAGCATGCTTGGAATAGCTTACCTCTAACCCTACCTTCTGCTTCAAATGTTCCTCGGCTGAATTTAGCACCATAACAAGCAGGACAGCATCATTGTGCAGGTGCTGGCATTAGGGGGTTTCTTTTATTTTTAGAAATGTGTGTGAGTTGGCTGTACTTAGCTGTGTTCACAAGTGCTCTGTGCTAGGAGTGTGCATTGTACATGTGGTAATGGCACTAGAGTTAAAACCTCCCATTGCCTCCCTTCTCTCTCTCTCACACACACACACATATGGAACTCACCCAAGCCCTATTCAGGAATTGTAAAAGAGGTTTTTATTTTATTTATTTATTTATTTATCCAATTTGTGTAGCTGCCCATCTCACTTTTACAAGCAGCTCTGGGTGGCTTACAACAAAGTTAAAACAGCAATAAATACCTAAAAACCACTCTAATTATTAACAGTTAAAACATCAGAAGCTATAAGAACTGAGCTGAAACAAAAGTAGACAAAGGGATGTTAGTAACAAGGGAGCCATCTCACCAGCTTACCCATCCCCTGGGGTCCCCAGACGTGCTGACATAACCAAGTCTTGAGGGACCTTTGGAAACTCAGAAGCGATGAGGCCAACCTCACCTCACAGCTGTAGACAATAAACCCCACCCTGCTGGGAGGTCATACTTATAACACAGGGTCCAGAAAATGTCTGCATGTTTTGCGAGTGGAGGGAAGGGAAGGAAAGGAAAAAGTTGCTAAGAAACGGTATCTGAGCTAGGACAATGACATTGAGTAGAATCTGATTAAGAAGATGTAAATAATCCAGTCAACTGAAAAAGTTATACCCATCGCTCCAAAGTGAACATACTATACAGGACACTGAGTGTTCTATATGGAAGGCTTAGTTATATGCAAGAATTCCCTGAAGTCAGAAAATGGAAAACTAGATGGAATACAAATTGAGTCAAACATTTATGAAGGTGTCCAGTAAATCCACTGAACAGTACAGAAGTGATTATGGCATTATTGATTCCCGGTAAACCAATTAGATGATTCTTATTTCTTATTACAGAAAAGGTAATTGGCTTTGGAGAGGCCAGATTTCACCTGAAAACTACTATATGTAGCTCCCCAATGATGGGATGATGGGAAAGGAAGAGTTTAGCGATGTTGGAAGACTTTTTTTTTTTTTAAAGAAGAAAACTATTTAAATGTTGTATCCGTACAGATATATACATACATAGTATCCATCATACTATTCATACTACGGTATTTACTTTCAGAGGAAACAACATTATGCAAAGTGTAGAAAAAGAGTAAGAAGCAATAAGCATGGGAAGTTAAACACAGGAGAGAATAGAGGGAAAAAATCCAGCTAAATCTAATTTATATTCCAAACCTTTCACTATAATTGCCATATTTTTCTATCCTTGCAAACCATCTTTGCTTCCACTATATCTATATGTCAGATCATGTATTACATTGCATTTTGTTCTTTAAACTTCTAATCTCTCTCTTTTTAAGGATCCCAACAAACTCCATCCAGCAATGCTTTTCTCAGTCTTCCTCCTCCTTTCAACCCATTCACTTTTCCTTCATATATTAGCTTCCCAATTCAGTCCTCATTCATTCTCTCAGCAGGACCATACAACCTTTTATACCTAGTATGAACAACGTTGTTTTGGTCAAGAGCGTGAGCTATTACTGGAAATCTTCTCAGTTGAAATCTTACCACCGTTAGCTGACAAGGGGTTAGGTTAAGCCACGATTCTCAGTAACTCTGGAAGAAACAATAAAAAGTTTAGATATTGAAAATATTTATTATATTCCATGTATTATTAGTTCTATAACACCAAGATATTTTAGGAAATATGGCTACTCTGAATATTATATGGGCTACCTAATATTTCCAAATAAAAACTAACTACAAAAAGTTGAGCTTATCTCCTTTTCTTCCATGAAACTAACAGCACCTTAACATGTTTACTTGTGAATGGTGCAATAAAAATATTCTGCTTTTCTAGATGAAAACTCAGAGGCTGACTCTGGGGCAGCTAGTCTCTGTTTGACCACCCCATCTCATAGGGTTCTTTTATGGGGATAAAATGATCCCCATGGAAGCTAACTTGAGCTCCTAGAAGAAGTGGTGGGGGGTAGAAATCGAACAAACCAAACCAACATAGAGTGTTTATGTAACATCTGTTTTTTCACCAGTCACATGGTAGCATTTATGCTATAGCTATGTCCCATGTGAAGTTTACAGTTGAGTACTCATTGTCATAAACTATTTCAAGAAACATATGGCCACTTAGTTGGAAGGAGCCATTTATGTTATCACATCTAGTCTGCTGTTCAGTGCAGAAAACCAAATTAAATCATCCCCAATAGATAGCTTATCCTGCCTCCATCTAAACACAGCCTGTAATGGAGAACATTTCTCCTTCTAGCTAAATTGGTTCCAATGTTGAGCTGTTGTTACTATGAGGAAGGATTTTTTCTACCTTTCTGTTGGAATCTGCTTTCCTGTAACTAAAAAATCCATTTTTCTGTTATTCTCTATCTCTGGAATAAGAGAGGACAGGTCTTGATTTTCTTCTGAGAAATGTTCTTTCTTTGCTGTAAGGCAAGGAGAAGCTGTAATGGGAAGAAAAGTATTAGGCCTGCACAATCGTAGCCTGTGGAACTAAGATGTGAGCATCCCAGAAAGGGAAAGAGAGGGAAATGATGAAATGTGTGTGATGGTGACATCATCGCACAGATGCCATGACTTAATTATTGGGTCTGATGTTAGGATGCAAGGATGAATTGTGGCATTTGCATGATGACATCACACTGGTGATGGCTCACTCATTTGCCTGATGACTTCACAGCTATTGTTTACTCATAATTTTAAGACTTCAGGCAACCTGAATGTTCTGGAGTACAAAACCACAATCCTTAGCCACTGGCTGGGGCTCATGGGAATTGAAGTCCAGAACATCCAGAGGGTACCAGATCTCTGTTTCTACTGCAAGACCATTGTCTAGGTTATATTGTTCACCAGAGCAGGTTTTAATACAGTTCTTCTGCCCCACTCTCCCAAAAAATACATTTGAGCATTCCTAGGGATCCTATTTCCCATTTGCCTATTCCAACCTCTGTGATTCTGTCTCCCAGCCACCTAGCCAAGATTATCTCATATTTGCTACTGCATCTTACGGCTACTCAGCAGCAAGTTTATAAATAATCATAATATGCCATTGGGGAAGGGTGATCCAAAAGAACAGCTTACTCTGAAAATGCTTTTTCTTTTTCTGTTGCTCATTTTTCTTGGCTTAATAATACAGTACAGGCAGTCCATGGGTTATATAAGCCCTGATTTTCATAGTTCTAACATTATGCAAGGAGGCAGGAAGATGCTGACCATGGTCTTCATGGAATGCTTGAGGATTGCTTTTAACACAAAGGAAAGCTGGCTATATTGGTGAAGCAGAGAAAAGCATTATGGAGTTAGCAAGATGGAGTTATTTCAAGAGGAGGACACTAAATACATAATCTAAAGCTTCTACTAAATTATAATAGGAATTCATGATAAGGTCTTATGGGAACATGGTACAGTATCTTAGGCATGGACAGGATATTTTGAGAATGTAAAGCTTTGATATTTGGCGAAAAATGGTCCCTTATCAGCTCCTATGTTATAGAAGCTTTGTTCACTATCTAACTTGGTCACAGATTTCTCTTTACTGTTCCATCCCTGTACAAAATGAGTCTTTTCGCCAGATGGTTGAAACCTGGGTCAAGCCCCAAAATGCTGATTGAAATGTGAGTCAATGAACAACAGCTAATGAAGGACAAAGTATTAAATAAAGCCTTAAAAGGATTAGATTTAACTTGTGTAGAACTTGCTGGAATAGAAAAAATACAGAGTGTGTCCAAAGACATTTGTTGTTAGTTAAGAACAAAATACTTTTTACCTTTTGTGGTTAAGTAAAAAAGGTATCATCCTGGAGAAAATCTATGTGGTTGCTAAGAGTCAAACCCAGCTTGATAGCACATAACGAATCAATCAATCAATCAATCAATCAATCAATTAAAAAAGGGTAAAGTCTTTCTTTTTCAGTCAAGCTCAACTATTAGTGACTTCATGGATTACAACAGAATATTTAAAAATTTCTTTGTCTCGCCTATAGCCCTGTGAATTCCTGATAGATCTCCATCCAAACACTCTAGAAATTATTAGGAAAGGAATTGAAAATAGAACTATCAACTTTATAATGCCTTTGTCCAAATCTAGTGTAGATCTGCATCTGGAATCCTGTGTACAGTTCGGGCTGCCTTGAAAAGGAATGTAGAAGAGCTGGAGAAAGTGTAGAAGAGGGCGATCAAAATGATTGAGGACTTGCTCGCCTTCTTTAAGAGAAAAAGCTAGATTTTGAGAATTCTTTAAATTAGAAAAAAAAGACAATGGGGGTGGGGCCTGTTTGAGCTGCAGAAAACCATGCAGGACACCAAGGAACTGGAGAGGAAGAAGTTCCAAGATTGCCAAACTTCACACAAGCTTGGTAGTGGATTGCAGAGCTTCAAATACTTAATCCTACAAGCATCACTTATGTACAGATTATCCATTTTATCTTCCAAGGAGTCAGACATCACTGGACCATCCTCTTCAGTTTTTGCTGTATGCCAGATGAATAAAATACTACAGGTTTTTGACAGATCAGTTCTCATGGATTGCTTTTGTTTGCAACATAATGCAATTCAGCTCTTCCCTGGATGGAATGTTTCATTGATTCTGAATGAGAAAGTGTCACTGACATTTTTTTTAAAATATGGTAACACTATGTTTAATCACACTTGAAAGAACACTAACCCTCCACAAAACATGTCTCCCGCAGGTATTAATAGATTTCTTTGTATCATTTTTTTTAGGTCAATGGAACAGAGATTGAATATGAATTTGAAGAAATTACATTGGAAAGGGTAAGTTAATTATTTTTCACACTGTAGAGGCATAGTTAGAAATACAAATAAAGGAGCTTGTTGGATGGCATCTTTCATTTTCCATTTAAGTAGCTTGAGTGGAATTCACATTATTTAACCATAACAAAAGCCTATCAACCCAGATTTATTATAGGGTTGAAATCTCAAAAATACATGGTGCGTTCCAAGGGAGCTTTTTCCTTTAAAAAGATGTTTGCCCTTTTATTTTAAAATGTTGACACTATTAAACATAGCGGTTAGAAATTCATCAACGGTTTCTTCTCTGTATTACAGTGCAATGTTTCTGTATTTATTTTATTTTAACTAAAGTTCCATGCATAGATAGGCACGTATGAGATGTGTGTACTGGCTACGTTCTCCCAACACAGAGAACCTCAGAGCTATATTCCCATCACATTGAAAAGGTTTAGGGAAGATTGGCCAGATCATCACAAAGAATAATGGGAAATAGCAAAGGACATTTCTGACCCTAAGTTGTTGGGGCATTTTTAATCATCACTCCTTAATTAGAGTGCCCAAAGGTCACTGAACAGCACACGAGCCTCCCAAGATAATATTTTGGAATGCCACATTGCTGTGAATAGAGGCATCAAGTTATTCATTTATACCGAATGAAGGCCAGTAAGATTTATGTGCATCACTGAAGTTTGACCTGGCACAGATAATGGATTATCCCTTGTGTTAAGTTTCAAATGGTATATAATGAGTGTTTGCTTAGTGCCTTCCATTTCTTAGCAAAAGCCATCACTGAAAAACACAGCATAGGAGAAAATATCACTTGCATATTGTGGGGGCCTGGTAAACAGCAGCCCTGTGAGTCACTGGCAGTAAAAACTTAATTATGTCTATTGCCAAAAGAAAGGGGTGGGGCTTTTGTTTGCTTCTGAAGAAGTCTAATTGACCATCATGTGAAATATGCTATAAAGTACACTCTTACGTACCATACCTGGAGACAACCCTGTGTCTGCTTCTGGAAAAGACCTGGGCTTCATATGAAGCCATCTACAATTCAGGAGTGGCATATTACAAGCAGACACAAACTGGTTTGTCTGCTGAAAATATAATTATGCCTTTTTGGACACCTCTGCACTGGCAGAAGTATGTGTGTTGGTTGCAAGTCTTTGTTTTGCAATTGGACAGGTTAATTTGTCACCATGACTCCAGCCTCCCAGCAAAAATTGAACCATAGCTCATGTGCCATGATGGAAAGAACTACTCTATGGCTGCCTGATCCAAACCACACAGATCAATCAACTCCTGAATGCTCATTCACAGAATGTATCCTCTTCATTGCTTTATGGACCAATAACACCTATAGGGAAGGTGCCATATATACCTCTGGGGAGAAGGTGTTCCATAGCATGGGGACCATTACAGAGTAGGATTCCTACAGGCCCATGTCTCCTTGATTTCTCCTGGAACTGGGATTCTCCTTTTACGTGCATGAATCTATCAATCAATTAGTCCTCTATCTAGAATATTTAGAGACATATTCAAAAGGCTGTTGGAAACCTCGTTCCTGAAAAAGAAAAAAATAGAAAATGCCAAAAGGACTTCTGAGGAAGAAATTACATAATCTTGGGGTCATCACTTAAGAGTTTGTATCCCTGGTATCTATCCATCTAAGTGATGGAAGGAGGTCAAACGTGTACCTGAACTTCAGGAAGCTTGGTAATCCTTATGCATTATCCAGTTTGTTTCTATGATTGTGTTAATCTTAGTAATTAAGCCCAGGAAATGTAAACACATGAATGAGATCAATGCTATATATAGGGATTCATGGGAGTATGTATCAAGCTTGTTTTAGTTCAGTTTCTATTATATGTGAGTTCCATTGTGTGATAACAGCTTGCTTTTAAAAAAAAAGTTATCCGCACAAAAATTCTTAGAATTTTTGTATTCCCCTTTCCTAATAT